TAGATGGGGAGATGGAGGTATTGGTATTGGGTAGATGGCGGGAATACTTTGAGGAACTTTTAAATGTCGATGAAGAAAGGGAGATGGTAATTTCATGCATTGGCCAGGGAGGTATACCATCTTTTAAGAGTGAAGAATAGCAGGACGTGAGTGTGGGGGAGGTACATGAGGCATTACGTAGAATGAAAGGGGTAAAGCAGCTGGAACTGACGGGATCATGACAGAAATGTTAAAAGCAGGGGGGATATAGTGTTAGAGTGGTTGGTATTTTTGTTTAATAAATGTATGAAAGAGTCGAACGTACCTAGGGATTGGCAGAGAGCATGTATACTTCCTTTATATAAAGGGGAGGGGGACAAAAGATATTGTAAAAATTATAGAGGAATCAATTTACTGAGTATACTAGGAAAAGTGTACAGTAGGATTATTATTGAAAGAATTAGAGGTAAGACAGAATGTAGGATTGCGGATGAGCAAGGTGGTTTTAGAGTGGGTAGGGGATGTGTAGATCAAGTTTTTGCATTGAAGTATATATGTGAACAGTATTTAGATAAAGGTAGGGAAGTTTTCATTGCATTTATGGATTTAGAAAAGGCATATAATAGAGTGGATAGGGGAGCAATGTGGCAGATGTTGCAAGTACGTATATGGAATGCTAGGTAGTAAGTTACTAAATGCTGTAAAGAGTTTTATGAGGATAGTGAGGCTCAGGTTAGGGTGTGTAGAAGAGAGGGAGACTACTTCCCGGTAAAAGTAGGTCTTAGGGATGTGTAATGTCACCAGGGTTGTTTAATATATTTATAGATGGGGTTGTAAAAGAAGTAAATGCTAGGGTGTTTGGGAGAGGGGTGGGATTAAATTATGGGGAATCAAATACAAAATGGGAATTGATAGTTACTTTTTGCTGATGATACTTTGCTTTTGGGAGATTCTAAAGAAAAATTGCAAAGGTTAGTGGACGAGTTTGGGAGAGTGTGTAAAGGTAGAAAGTTGAAAGTGAACATAGAAAAGAGTAAGGTGATGATGGTATCAAATGATTTAGATAAAGAAAAATTGGATATCAAATTGGAGAAGAGAAGTATGGAAGAAGTGAATGTTTTCAGATATTTGGGAGTTGACGTGTCAGTGGATGGATTTATGAAGGATGAGATTAATCATAGAATTCATGAAGGAAAAAAGGACAAGTGGTGCGTTGAGGTATATATAGAGACAAAAAACGTTGTCTATGGAGGCAAAGAAGGGAATGTATGAAAGTATAGTGGTACCAACACTTTTATATGGGTGTGAAGCTTGGGTTGTAAAAGCTGCAGCGAAGAGATGGTTGGAGGCAGTGGAGATGTCCTGTCTAAGGGCAATGTGTTGTGTAAATATTATGCAGAAAATTCGGAGTGTGGAAATTAGGAGAATGTGTGGAGTTAATAAAAGTATTATTCAGAGGGCCGAATAGGGGTTGTTGAGGTGGTTTGATCATTTAGAGAGAATGGATCAAAATAGTATAGTATATAAATCTGTAGGGGAAGGAAGGCGGGGTAGGGGTCTTCCTCGAAAAGGTTGGAGGGAGGGGGTAAAGGAGGTTTTTTTGGGTGAGGGGCTTGGACTTTCAGCAAGCGTGCATGAGCGTGTTAGATAGGAGTGAATGAAAACGAATGGAATTTGGGACCTGACGAGCTGTTGAAGTGTGAGCAGGGTAATATTTAGTGAAGGGATTCGGGGAAACCGGTTATTTTTATATAGGTGGACTTGAGTCCTGGAAATGGGAAGTACAATGCCTGCACTTTAACCCTTTCAGGGTCCAAGGCCAAAATCTGAAGTGGTGCTCCAGTGTCCAAGAAACTTTGAAAAAAAAAAAAAAAAAATTTTCTTACAGAATTAAAGAGCATATTTTTGTGAAGGTAATAAGACAAAAAAAAAAATCTGATCAGTACTTACCGAGATACAGTGCCAAGAAGTTTGTCAAAAATGATGTGGTGGGGGCAACATCGACGAATTCCACATACGCGCATTACATTATTTTGTGGTTTTAGTTGTTTTTTCTTTTCTTTTCCAATTTTTTTCTTTCCTACTAACATTTGGGGCCTGAGAGACCAATACTGTATATAAAGTATATATATAAACTCACTGTATTGAACACAATAACCGCACTAAAGTTATTATCATATTATTGTTTACCACTGTTGTTTATTACAATAAGCATGCACAAATATTGTATAATACTAATGTTCTATCATATATTTACATATTTACAATCACTGGACATGGTTTTAGAACTGCTGGAGCTTGTGGAACTCCTTGAAACAAGGCACCATGCACAGAGGCACCTTACATTCCTCACACATAAACAGAGTGTCTTTGCGTCTTTGTTGCCATCATTTTGTTTGTGCACAGACAATGCATCTCTTCTGAGCAAATTTCTTCTGAGTTGAAGGAAGCTGTATTATGAAATGATCACCTTCTCTCCTCAAACGCTTGGGTATATCCTGAGAATCGAGGACCTGTTGTATAGCAGGTGTTGTTACCTGGTACTTCATTATGAGTTGTCTGACAACAGACAAACAAAATTCACCATACGGTGGTCTGTTGCCAGTCTTTATTTGGTACATATTATATGCATTGAGCATTGAAATGTCCATGAGATGGAAGAAAAGTTTCATGTACCACTTGTAACTCTTACGAACACAGTCAACAAAACCAATCTGCATGTCACACTTGTCAACCAAGCGCATGTTTTGTGTATAATCAATCACTGACACTGGTTTTCGAATATGTTCATTAGTCACTCGATCAACTTTGCCACTGTCTTGCATTTCATTACGGTGAATGGTTGTCAACAATGTGACATCTCGTTTGTCATGCCACCGTAATGCCATGATGTCATTGGCAGTAAACACCTGCACGTCATCACCACGAGCACTTGTGTGAGCCTGGGCATATGTTTACGATTAGAACGCACTGTGCCACACACATCTGTCTTGTTCACTCGTATGAAATCACTGAGTAATGGGCTTGTGTACCAGTTATCGGTATATAATGTATGCCCCTTACCAAGATAAGGTGCATCATGTTTCTCACTACGTCACCTGAGATACCAATAACATCTTGGTATCTTTCAATGTTTTACTACCCGTGTATACAACAATATCCAACACCAGGCCACTGTCACAATCACAGAGTACAAACAGTTTTATACCAAAGCGTTTCCTCTTGCTCGGTATATACTGCTTAAATGACAGTCTACCTTTGAACAAAATCAAAGATCATCAATTACAAGATTCTTGAATGGATAAAAGTATATCCTGAACTTTTGTTTGAGATACATGAAAACATTTCTAATCTTGTATAACCTGTCACTTCTGTCAGGCCTGGTTTTGTCAGAGAAGTGCAACATATGTAAGAGTAAGATAAACCTGTTCACTGGTATGATTTCACTGAAGACCGGGGTAGAAATTAGCTGATCTGTGGACCAGTATGCTTTTATATTATGCTTATAGACGTGAGGCATAAGCATTATTGTTGCAAAAAGCAAATACATTTCTGCAACAATCGTCTCTTTCCACCTGTGTAGTCTTGACTGTGGTGATAAGATCGTATTTGCCATGGTGTACTCAAAATACTTATTACTTTCCCTGACAATAATTTCCATCAATGGCTGGTCAAAGAATAATTCAAAGAATTCCAGTTCATTGGCCATGGTTCCAAGGGGACAAGTAGGTAGATTCCACTTTGAGAATCATCAAAGTGGTGAGGCTTGGGAACAAATTGGGATTTTGCTGCCAATCCCACATACGGTTTGCTGGTGGATATTGGACATCATAGGCTGGTTGTGCGGGGTGGTTGTGGTTGTGGTGGGCTGGTGGCTGGCGCTCCGCTTTGTCCTTGAACTGACGAGTCAGCATGGGTCCCAGCGTGGCCTGGTGAGTCACGCATGGCGGTGCCACTACCATCACCACTAACACCATCCACTGATGCCTGTGGTCTATCCATGCCAAGTGTAGCCACATCATCCTCACTATCACTACCTAAAACTGGTGTTGGGCCACGGGATGTACTCCGGGATGTACTCCGTCCCCTGGGCACAGCATAGGGTACACTACCCGAGCGCATGTGGCGGCAAACATACCGACGCTTCACTGGTGAATATGATTCCTCACTATCACTACTCGATTGATCGTCGAGCGCAATAAAATCACAGTCCACGTCACTATCATCATCATTACTGAAGTCAGAGGCCTGGCCACGCGAAAATATTAGTTTTCTCTTGCGATGAGGAACAACCGACCGTGGTCACGAGTGCCACACCAGAGGTAGAAGGTTGAGGATCGTCAGGGTTTTCTGCACTATTATCGATATCCTGGTCATTCTTTTCGGTCACTAACTGATCAAAGCCGTAGAATTCGTCTTCATTTCCACTTCCATCAGTGTCAGAACTATCAGATAGGAAGAGGAGAGTCCCAATTTTCCGGGGAGTGAGAGCTGACTTGCGACGAGGCATGGTGAACAAGGGTAACTGAGCCGGCGTTCCCACAATGCTATGCGGGCGCCTAGATTTTTTGTTTATGGCGCACACCCACCACACAGACCCGTTCTCTCACATGTAGGCCTATGAGCGTTTTCGCGCTAAATTTGACGGCGCTAGAATTTTGGCATAGATCTACGGTTTGGACACTCAACGTAAAGCCGTTGATCTACGGGACGGACCCTGAAAGGGTTAAAGGAGGGGTTTGGGATATTGGCAGTTTGGAGAGATATGTTGTGTATCTTTATACGTATATGCTTCTAAACTGTTATATTCTGAGCACCTCTGCAAAAACAGTGATTATGTGTGAGTGAGGTGAAAATGTTGAATGATGATGAAAGTATTTTCTTTCCTTTTGGGTCACCCTGCTTTGGTGGGAGACGGCCGACTTGTTAAAAAAAAAATATATATAGTATAGTATATAGTATAGTATATAAATTCTTGAAATCGGTCAAATGTAATTATTTAACTGATCTGTATCATTTAATGTAATTACGTATTTGGATTTTTTCTTGTAGTTGGAGTGCGTGTTATTCATCGAGTTCTGCAGGGACTCACTATATGTCTATCAAAGTCATTCACTCTGACCACTCTTGAACTAAACAATGTCAGACTGAATGGGAAATCTCTAAATATATTTTGTCAGGTAAGGAACTTTATATTTTATAGGTATATCCACTTACTAAATTGCTTAAATTAAAAAAAATATTTAGTTTTCACAACAAATACAGGTCATGCATGTGTGGTAGTCACATTTTCTTTTCCAAAGCACAGATTAAGAGTAATGTAAAATTACTTACAAACCTGCATTGTGACCATTTTCTCAGTAGTTGTCATTTATTAGTTCCAGTACAAACACTGACAGTAGGAACCTAATGTATCAAATCTTTCACTCCATTTTAAATATAATGTTTAATATTGAAATGTTTTTGTTTCATATTCTTAAATCATATTGAAGTGTTTTTGTTTCGTATTCTTAAATCTGTAACTCTTCTTTTAACACTGTATAGTATATCTGGCACTCATTATTTTGCACTGTTCATCTCACACACACACACCATTCTAGTAATTACCCATTTGTAGCTACAAGAGCAGAGCTGTGCTCATAGTCCCAGTCTTCATTACTGTTTTTGTTATGTAGAGTTTATGTTTATAATGGTTGTAGCACTCCAGTTGCTCAACTTATCCAAATCATCTTTTTATTACTTTGCACAAGATTTTTGTATCATAACTCACAAAATCATAATAATAACATAATTGCAAACAAACCACAGAATGGCAAGTGAGTTCTTGGGTTCAAACCCTAATCATTCCATGAATTCTGTATCATCTGCAAATTCATATAGTGTTCTCTTTCCTATGGAAACTTATTTATATGAATTAAAAACATTGTAGGGGGAAATACTGATCCTTGTGGCACCCATCTGGTAACACTTTCCTAAGACATTTTTCCTTGTATCACTGTTTGCATTTTTCTCACAAATAGAAAGTCTGTCATCCATTTTAATAGTTTGCCTTTTTTTTTTTTAACATGTCGGCTGTCTCCCGCCTTTTATTCCTAGATAAATAAAATCTGCTTATCCATTTTTTCTTGAACAGTTTCAGTGACTCATAATAGCTTAATAAATATAATATACAGTGGACCCCTGCTGTTCGGCAGCCGCGACTCATGAAATCTGACTTTCGGCATCTTTTTTGCCAAAATTTAGCTTCGCAGTTCGTGATTAGCCTCTTGATTCGTCAACTGTCCTGTACAGGTCCTCCGTCAGTGCGCACACAAAGCCAGTCTCCTGCACCATTCACACTCAGTGTGCCATTGTTTATCAGAGAGTGACCATCACCCCATGGGCTCATATGATACATTTCATAATAATCCATTGTTTTTTGTGCTTGCAACTGCTAAATAAGCCACCATGGGCCCCAAGAAAGCTCCCAGTGCCAGCCTTATGGTAAAGAAGGAAAGAAACATAATAGAATTCAAGAAAAAACTCGTAGCAAAGTACCAAAGTAGAGGAGGAAGAGAGAGGGGAGAATGTGCCTTCTGCAGTGATTCAGTGATATGTATGATACTAAAGCAGCAGGTATCGATAAAGGCTATAGTGCCAGCCAGTGATAAAGTGTAGAATTAACAGTGTAGCAAGTAAGTTAAGCAGTTAAGCGATAGAAAAATGACATGAAAGTAACTCTACAATGTTGTTGGAGGTGTATAGGGCCAATGAACATATGCCAGCCTGCTATCATCCACCAACCTAAACCTCTGCCAGCATCTCCTCCATCAAACTAGCTAAACTAACATCTCCGAGGTAGTGCAAATATTTCTTATAAATTAAAATGTAAATATTTCCTATTTATAAATTACGTACATTGTTTAAGTGTGAATAGTGGTGGTGAGTTCTGATGCTGCCTCCACCACCACCACCACTATGTACGGCTTCTCTCAGTGGCCCTTATAAACCCAACAACAACACTTTCACCACTTATTCCTCACATACATTATGACATATTTTATTCATTCTAGAGTATATATCATGTTTCTATGTTATTAATATTGTTTATTATGTCATATTAGATGAGTTGTGATAGATAAATAAGCCATGGAGATAATACAGTGGACCCCCGCATAACGATCACTTCCATGGACCAATTTTGTAATTTTTTAGTAATCTTTTCGGTTTTTTTTTGGGGGTCGAAAGGGATAATTTTCACTACAATTTTTTGGGGAAAAATTTTGGCAATTTTCCCCGAAAATTAAAAAAAATATGAACCGGGGGCCCATGTTTACATCACATTGGGCTAAAAACTCGTTCCCCCCTCTCGCCCCTACCTGTTTATTTTACCAACAAAAAAAAATTTAAAGTAAGTTGATGTTAAATTTTATTTATCCATTTTTATTAGTGCTTTTATTTATTTTCATTGTTTTTTAAAATGCAAATCAAATTTTTTTTAAAAAAATTTATTTTTTTTTTAATATTTTAATTCAAAAACAATTAATTATTTTCCATTTTTTCATGGGAAAAGGATCCCAAAATTTTTTTTCTCCATTCGGCGGGTTTAAAATTAAAAAAACTGGGGGGGTTTTAAAATATGAAATTTCCCAAATAAAAATTGTAACTACAAGCCCATTTTTCAACATTTGTTTACTTTTCTTGCTTTTTTTAATATTTTTATGATTATAACGAAACGGGCCTAAAAATTTTTTCCATCCCCCCCTTTCTTAAATATTAGCTTAGTGTTTGCCACTTCCATTGTCGCGTTTACTTTTTGTAGGAAACCTAAAAAAATTAAAAATGAATAGTCATTTTTTTTAAAAAACCCCTTTTTGCGTCTCTTCTGGTTCATTGCTTTTTTTTGTCAACATCCAGTAAAAATTTCTTTAACCTCTTGTTTTCAATTTCCCTTTAAATTAAATTTTGATTTTAAATAACTGCACATAAACTGTTTTGTTTGAAAACGTGAAACTTTCTATTTAATCCCTTGAAATTTTTCCTCTTCAAAAAGTGTTTTTTGTTGTTTTTAAATTTCCCTTTGTTTTTTTGGCTTTAAATTTAATTTACCTTTTTACAAATTTAAATAAAAGATAGGGTTTCACTTGGTTTTTTTCCTTTTTTTCCTGTAGATCTTTTCACCCTCCCTTCTTCATTGTGTTTTCATTTTTTTAAAAAGATCGGTTGGCCCACTTCCTTATCATTCAAATTTTTTCCCTTATTTTTCAGGCTCCCAGCACCTTCCATTAAACCGGGGGTTTCCCCAAAATTTTTCACTACGGGGCCATACGTATTTTTTACACATTTTGAGGAAAAGACAAAATCAGCTTTTAAATAAATATATTTGGGTCCTTTTTGTAATACTGTGAAAGATTCAGAAAAAAAAGGGAAAGGACAATTACGAAGAACAATCCCTGCTTACCTTGGGAAAAGATGTATAATGGTAAAAATGCAAACAAAAGCCAGTGCCTTTACTTTAAAAAAATTACTGAACTGCCCCTGAGAAAGTGCACAAAATTAATTTTTTTAATTTTAAATTTTCTGGAATGGGTTTTTTAAAAATTGAGGGGTCAATTAATTTTTGTCAAAGAAGTACTTTACAACCCATTTCTCATTAAAAAAGGCGCACTTACTTGCACTGTTCTTTTCCTTTTTCCTTCATAACTGAAGGGTTTTATTGAACAATTTAAAAAAAAAAGACCCAAAAAATTTAACTAATTTTGACAAAAATTGTTACAAACAACAGTTTTAACTTTAAGTGACAAAATGAGGGTTTTTTAATTTTTCTATTTATAAATATTTTAAATTTTGGAAACTCATAAAACTTTGGAGGGCCACAGTTTGGGGACCCCTATATTAAACCATTCTTTAATACAGTGGAACCCCGAGTTTCGTCTGCCCTGAGTATCATTCACTTCGAGTTTAGAACCGTTTTTTCGGCTAAATTTTGTCCCGAGTTTCGCACTGTGCCCCGTGTTTTGTCCTGCATGCTAGACCTGTCCGCCCGCCCTTGCCTGCGCGCCTCCCCACGCAGGCATCGTGAGTCAGTCTGGCTGCTTGTTTATCTTTGAGTGAACATTACCCTGTGCGCTCATCCAAACATTTCACAATTAATTCATTGAGTTTGGTGCTTGTTTATTGAGTATGACTGTGAGCCACTGAATAGCTGCAAGATTTTCATTGGGAAAAGCACAACCACAGTTGAGGAAATTGCTTCAGAGGGGGAGGGGGGAAAGGGGGTGGGGGAGGTGCCTTTTTCTGATTTGGGGCGGTGGATGTGGAATAGGTTGCAAAATTTTGTGGAAAAATACACCGAGCAAGCTGAAAAAAAGCCTCTTGCAAAAAGTTCAGTGACAGAACCATGTCCCCTTTTTGGGGGAAATGTTAAAGAGGGGCCCGAAAAAGAGGATCTGGGGAGTTATTTGACGGGGCAGGGGCCAGTGACTTCCGGCTGGGCCTAGTGGGATTAAAAAACAAAAAAAGGGGTAACCCCCCGATAAGAAATTGTTACCCAAGTCTTTAGGAAAGGGAAATTTTCCCTTCCAAACAAAAAGTGCCCCCCCTTCCCCCACTTCCCGAGCCGCAACAGTCTTTAATAAAAAGGAAGTAAATATTATTTTTAAAAAGTTTTTTTAAATGTTAAATTTTTTTTTAAAACAATTTTGTATATAGTATTTATCGTGTTGTGTGTATAAAAACTATGTTATTCTTTAAAAAAAGGTATTTTTTGTGAATATTTTTGTGAGTCTGGAACGGATTAATTGGAGTTACATTATTTCTTATGGGAAATATTGCTTCGACTTTAGGATGTTTCGACTTTAGTCCTAACTCCTGGAACGGATTAAGGATGAAACTCGGGGTTCCGCTGTATTTTTCTTTTGCATCCTTATTTGGAATGAACTGTTTAATTCCAGTTTCATAGAGGTTATAGAACTCTGTATACATTTTTTATATCTCTTTATTGTAATTCTGAAAAATGTATACTTTCTCTAAGTCAGTTTTTCTTTACACTTTATATTAACAGTTTCTTGAACAAATATAAAGACTTAGAACATATGAGACATTAACAGATTTAGTTTTAAGAGCTTACAAAACATAAACCCCCATTTATATTATTTAGTTAGAAGTGTAATTGGCTGGGCTGATTACACTTTTCAGTAACAATTAAGTATAAATGATGTAAACCAAAAGCAATCATGTGTTTAGAATATTGAAAGAACATTTTGATTATATAATGCTAATTACTCTACACTTTTATAATGAAAAAGTTTTCCACTAATTATTATTTACAAGAAAATTACTATAAATGTCGATATTTTTAATATTTTTTCCATAAAGAACAGATAACATTGATTAGGGACAAATGTTATAATAATATGCAATTTCTTTTAGGGGATTATGAAATCACAAAATTTGAAAACTTTGAGTTTGAGAAAATGTAATCTTGGAGATACAGGAGTCCAACAAGTATGCCAAAATATGAAAAATGTACCCAGCATTACACAGCTGTGTTTGATTGACTGCCAGCTTGCAGAAAAGGGGGCATCAGCAGTTGCCTGTTTGATACAGGTATGTTATTATCACACTGGCCACCCTGCCTTGGTGGGAATGAGCCAGTGTGATAATAAAAAAAATGTTATGCCAACAATATTGTTACACCTAGAAAATTTAGTAGAATATATTTTTAAGTTTTGGACTGCACGGTAAGAGATACAGTACTGTACAATACACTAAGTCCCTGATTTGTGATGTTCCACACTTATCGTATTGGCACTTTGGAACATATAAATGCTGACCTGCAATTATGATAATTACAAATGTATAAGCAGAAATTATTTTAAATAAATAGAACACAGCTTACACAGGATTGTTATAGCACAGTTAAGAAACTGAAGCAAAAAATCTAAATGGAATAGGAAAAAGATCAATATTGAATGCACATACATTTTAAAGATTATGTAATGTGCAAAATCTGGGTAGTTGCCCTCCTTAGATTTCCTCAGTCTGCTTGTCAGGCAACAAGCATTGCCTTCTCTAGCCACTGGGTTACTAGTGGTATGTCCACCCACCCTCCTAACCTTGCTAAGCCAAAGCAATCATGTCCATTATCTATACACAAATAACGTGCACATAGAAGAGAGGAGCTTACGATGACGTTTCGGTCCGACATGGACCATTTACAAAGTCACACTAACGAAAAGGAGAGAGGGAGGGGTATATATAGCCAGGAAGTAGTAGTAGTAGTAGGGGAGGTAGTAAGAAGGAGGAGGAGCCAGTCAAATACTAAGAAAGAGGAGCACTGCAAGGGAGCTAGGTGCCCACAGAGGGTAAGAGCAAGAACACAGAGGGAGGGAAAATGAATAAATAAATAAAGAAGGAACAAATACACAAGGCAGAAGAAAGACAACCCAAAGGGGAAAAAGGAAAGAGGAAAGGGGAAGAGGGAGAAGAAGAAGAAGGAGGAATCAGGTTAAGTCATGGGTGTTCTGAAGTTTGGAGCATTTTACAGTGTAGTGGGAAAGGAATGCACCTACAGAGATGAAGCCAGGACTAAGATTCATACAAGGAAAGTTGTGTATTAGGGAGGATTCAACCAAATGGTGACTGTTTAAGTTGGAAGTAGGGAAGACAGTTTTAGCAGAAGACCAGTCGATAGGATGGCTGTGATCTCTGATGTGACAGAAAAGAGCATTGTTAGTGTTGGCAAACCGAACACTATTTTTGTGCTCCCTGAGTCTGTCAGAAAGAGATCGGCCAGTTTCTCCAAAGTATTGGAGAGGACAGGAGGAACAAGAAATAGAGCAGACACCAGGATCATCTGTTTAGGGAGGAGAGGTATGAATGAGATTAGTGCGAAGAGTGTTACTCTGGCGGAGAGTAAGTTTGATGTGTAAAGAATGGAAAGAGTTGTTGAGATTAGAAAGACCAGAAAGGTAGGGAAGGCAGAGGACAGAAGCGTTCCCAGGAGTAGAGAGTTCGGGAGAGAAGAAATTACATTTAGCACATGAGAAGGCAGAGTCTATGAAATGGGAAGGGTAGCCAAGATAGTAAAATGAATTATGCAGAGTGGAAATTTCTGATTGAAGGAACTGAGGATCACAAATGCAGAGGGCATGGAGAAAGAGGGAGATAAGAACACTTTTCTTGACAGAGGAAGCATGATAAGAAAAGTAGTGAATGTACATGCCACTGTGTATTGGCTCCTCTCTTCTATGAGCGGGTTATTTGTGTGTCGTTCCAGTCACGGTATTGTGCCTTTTTTGTTATCCATTATCTAGTATTCTTGCCTAACTATTGTTTTCCAAAATTTATATAATCTACAAATGCTTAATTTATACTGTATAAAAAATTGGAACAGACTATTCAGTGCATTAATATAAAAAGTAAACAAAACTTCAGTAGAAGGTTTTTATTGGAATAATCAAGTTTCATTCATTATCATCATAATTACACAATAATTTCACCATCCTTGTATCCTTAACAGTGGTGTGCCTATTCTAGCTGTATTTCTGCAAATATTGAAGTGTTGGTTAGTAACAATAAAGAGTGAATAAGTATTTAAAAGAGCAACTTTTAGTAGAGTTATTAAATTGTCACAGAGATTGAGGTAACACATATTTTAAGAAAAAGAGCATAAATAAGTATACAAGATATGATGTAGGGTGAAATGACAGTAATTTGTTGGCCTACGTATTGGTAGATAAAAGACTGTTAGGTAGACTTCAAGATGTACATGTTCATAGAGGGGCCATAGATATATCAGATCACTTTTTAGTTGTAGCTACAGTGAGAATAAAAGGTAGATGAGATACAAGGGAAATGGACAGCAAGTAAGAGAGAAGTGAAGATTTATAAACTAGAGGAGGAGGCAGTTAGGGTAAGATATAAACAACTGTTGGAGGACAAATGGGCTAGTGAGAGTATAGGCATTGGAGTAGACGATGTATGGGGTAAGTTTAAGAATATAGTGTTAGAGTGTTCAGTAGAAGTTTGTGGTTACAGGAAAGTAGGTGTGGGAGGGAAGAAGAGCAATTGGTGGAATGATGATGTTAAGAGAGTAGTAAGAGAGAAAAAGGTAGCATATGAGAGGTTGTTACAAAGTAGAAGTGATGCAAAGAGGGAGGAGTATATGGAGAGGAAAAGAGAGGTTAAGAGAGTGGTGAAGCAATGTAAAAAGAGAGCAAATGAGAGAGTGGGTGAGATGTTATCAACAAATTTTGTTGAAAATAAGAAAAAGTTTTGGAGTGAGATTAATAAATTGAGAAAGCCTAGGGAAAGAATGGGTTTGTCAGTTACAAATAGGAAAGGAGAGTTAGAGGTATTGGGAAGATGGAGGGAATATTTTGAGAAATTGTTAAATGTTGATGAAGATAGGGAAGCTGTGATTTTGTGTATAGGGCAAGGAGAATAACATCTTATAGGAGTGAGGAAGAACCAGTTGTGAGTGTGGGGGAAGCGCATGGGGCAGTGGGTAGAATGAAAGGGGGTAAAGCAGCTGGGATTGATGGGATAAAGATAAAAATGTTAAAGGAGGTGGGGATATAGTTTTGGAGTGGTAAGTGTTTTTATTTAATAAATGTATGGAAGAGGGTAAGGTACCTAGGGATTGGCAGAGAGCATGCATAGTTCTTTGCATAAAGACAAAGGGGACAAAAGAGAGTGTAAAAATTATAGGGTAATAAGTCCGTTGAGTATACCTGGTAAAGTGTATGGTAGAGTTCTTATTGAAAGAATTAAAGAGTAAGATGGAGAGCAGGATAATAAATGAACAAGGAGGCTTTAGGAAAGGTAGGGGGTGTGTAGACCAAGTATTTGCAGTGAAACATATAGGTGAGCAGTATTTAGATAAGGGTAAAGAGGTATTTGTGGCATTTATGGATTTGGAAAAGGCATATGATAGGGTGGATAGGGGGGCAATGTGGCAGATGTTGCAAATGTATGGAATAGGAGGTAGGTTATTGAAAGCGTTGAAAAGTTTTTATGAGGATAGTGAGGCTCAGGTTAGAGTATGTAGGCGAGAGGGAGATTATTTCCCAGTAAAAGTAGGCCTTAGACAGGGATGTGTGATGTCACCATGGTTGTTCAATATATTTATAGATGGAGTTGTAAGAGAAGTGAATGTGAGGATCTTGGCAAGAGGTGTGGGGTTAAAAGATAAAGAATCTGACACAAAGTGGGAGTTGTCACAGTTGCTCTTTGCTGATGACACTGTTCTTTTGGGAGACTCTGAAGAGAAGTTGCAGAGGTTGGGGATGAGTTTGGTAGGGTATCTAAAAGAAGGAAATTAGGAGCAAATATAGGAAAGAGTAAGGTGATGAGGATAACAAAAAAATTAGGTAATGGAAGATTTTATATTAGATTGGAGGGAGAGAGTATGGAGGAGGTGAATGTGTTCAGATGTTTGGGAGTGGACATGTTAGCAGATGGGTCTATGAAGGATGAGGTGAATCATAGAATTGATGAGGGGAAAAAGGTGAGTGGTGCACTGAGGAGTCTGTGGAGACAAAGAACTTTATCCATGAAAGCAAAGAGGGGAATGTATGAGAGTATAGTTATATCAACACTCTTGTATGGGTGTAAGGCATAAGTTGTGAATGTTGCAAGAAGGAGAAGGATGGAGGCATTGGAGATGTCATGTCTGAGGGCAATGTATGGTGTGAATATAATGCAGAGAATCTGTAATTTGGAGATTAGGAGGAAGTGTGGGATTACTAAAACTATTATCCAGAGGGCTGAGGAGGGGTTATTGAGATGGTTTGGACATGTAGAGAGGATGGAACAAAATAGAATGACTTCAAGAGTGTATAAATCTGTAGTGGAGGGAAGGCGAGGTAGGGGTCAGCCTGAGAAAGGTTGGAGGAAGGGGATAAAGGATGTTTTGTGTGCAAGGGGCTTGAACTTCCAGCAAGCATGCGTGAGCATGTTAGATAGAAGCGAATGGAGACAGATGGTTTTTAAGTCTTGACGTACTGTTGGAGTGTAAGCAAGGTAACATTTATGAAGGGATTCAGGGAAACCGGCAGGCCGGACTTGATTCCTGGAGATGGGAAGTAGTGCTGGCACTCTGAAGGAGGGTTGTTAATGTTGCAGTATTATAACTGTAGTGTAATCATACTTCTGGCAAGACAGAGATGGAGTGAATGATGATGAAAGTTTTTCTTTTTTGGACCACCCTGCCTTGGTGGGAAACGGCCAATGTGTTAATAAAAAAAAAAATTGTCTTGACACTCGCTACCCAAATAAATTGCATTTAGAATATCAGAACTGTGAAGCACTGCATTAGGCCTTTTGCCCCATACTAGGCAAGTTCTATCCCATTCATACCCAGTCATATACCTGTCCAGCTTATATTTAAAACTACTAAAAGGTCTCATTTTAGTTGTAGAGATTAACCAACAGTTTGCTAGGTAATACAAAGTAATGTTTATTTAGCCAATAGAATGAGGGAACTCTTCTGCCAGTTGCTGCCTCTGATATATAAAAGAAGGACCAAAAAAATTAAGGCAGTGAAAGATTGGATATATAGGGCATATGGAGGAAGTAAATGTGTTCAGATATTTAGGGAATGTACCTGCTGGTGGATGGGTCTTTGAAAGACAAAGTGAACCACAGCATAGACAAGCAGACAACAGGTGGGTAGTGTCTTGAAGTATCTATGGAGACAAACTTGATCCATGGAGGTAAAAAGGGAAATATACCAGAGTATAACAGTACCAACACTGTTATATGAGTGTGAAGCATGATTTTTTAAACATTGCAGTCAGGGAAACCAGTTAGCCGGACTTTATGAGTCCTGAAAGTTGGAAGGACAGTGCCTGCACTCTGAAGGAGGCATGAGGATATTGCAGTTGGAGGGTAATCTGAATTGTAATGGCAGCACACTTCTGGCAAGAGAGCAGTTAAGTAAATGGTGGTGAATGTATTTTCTTCTTTGGGTCACAGTGCCTTGGTGGGAGATGGTCAGTGAGGTAAACTTTTTGAACCTGCCGTGTGTACAAGAAATAACACTTAAGAAAAACATTTAGGTAGGGTATGCATAGAGTAAATGTGTTTATTCATTTCTATTTAAATTTTTTAGCATCAAAGGATGAATCGAGATAGTGCGATGTGGCAAGATACTCTTCGATTACGACAGCCACACCTTGATGGCATGAAAGGGCTTCGCAGAATAACGCTCAATCACAATCCCCAGATGAATGACAGTGGAGCAATTGCTATTGCCAATGCATTAACAGAAGATCTCTGGATCAAAGGTAAACTTAGCATACGAAAAGTACAGTACAGTCTTAAGAAATTAATTACTGCGTTGATTATGTATACTATTTGTATATACTGTAGTGCTAAAGTATGTTCTAGATAAAAACTGACATTGTTGATGAAAATATAAAGTGATGCAAAATTCTAGCCATGAATAACCTTGGTAAAACTCACTGCTAGTTAAAAAAAATGCATGAATTACTATGGTTGATTTCCTCGTAGTATTTTTAAATCCATGTTATTATCTAAATATTAAAAAAGTAAAAAATTCTGTAGAAAAAAGTGTGTGAAAGATGTCCAGTGAAAAATTTATACCATTACATGTATATAGTAGTACTCTAGCATGAGAGGCATAAGTATTTCGACTACCAGTAACTAAATTAAATATCATAATTTTGAAGTTCAGGGAGCTTGTCGGTTTTTTCTCTCTCTCTTGGGGGCAATAAAGAACTTGAGCCAATCTTAACTTTTGTATTAATTCATTATATATCTATCATGTTTACTTTCCTATATAGTCATGTGCATCATAGGGGTGACTAAATTGCTGACTACCCATTCTCCCACAATAATTTTTTTTATTTTAACACACTCAGCATCTTCCACTGAGGTAGGCTGACCCAGAAATGAAACACTTTCACCATCATTGTCTTGCCAAAGGCATTTCAATACTACAGTTCAGATGCCCCTCAAAACTGCAAATATCCTCACCTCTCCAGAGTGCAGGCACTGTACTTTTCACCTCAAGGAACTTGAGTCCGGCTAGCTGGTTTCCCTAAATCCCTTCACGAAACATTATCCTGCTTACACTCCAACAGTTTGTCAAGTCCCAAAAACAGTTTGTCTCCACTCTTATCTAATGGGCTCACGCTTGCTGTATGTCCAAGCCCTTCACACACAAAACAACCTTTACCCCCTCCCTCCAGCCTTTCCTAAGGGTGACTGTATGTAAAACTATAGTTATTCTCTATAAAATGTATTTTTTTTTAATATTTTTGAGTGTCTGGAATGGATTAATTGGATTTACATTATTTCTTATGGGAAATATTAACAAAAAATACATTTTATACAGAATAACTATAGTTTTACATACAGAAAAGGGATGATGAAATTCGAGGGTCCATAATTTTAGGCAGTTAAATATAATCTTCATTAAATTTATAACAGATCGATGATGTGCATTTATGGAGTGGTAGAGTTATAGTGGTAACAATATTGCATGAGTATTTAACCCTTTGAGGGTCGACAGGCCCTCTCCGAAACTCGTTCTCAGGGTCGGCCAAATTTAAAAAAAAAAAAAATTATTTTCTCTTATGAAAAGATAGAGAATATTTTCCTGATCATAAAGACACCAAAAGTTTGAAATTTGATAGAAAACTTACGGAATTATGCTCTCGCAAAGTTAGCAGTCTCGGCGATGTTTACGCATCGGCGATTTTGCCCACTTTGAGCCCCATTTTCGGCCAATTTCACTGTACTAGTCGACAAAAAACATGAATATTTCGCTAGAACTCCATTTTTTCTATCGAATGGGTGCAAGAAACCACTCATTTATGAAATTCAACTATCCAGTACAGTGGTCAGAATTTAGCAATTTTGCCAATTTCACACAAATTTCAAAAGATGCCAATTTCCGAATAGGGTCCAGAATAAACAAAAAAGACATTCCTGGCACTAAAATGACATTTCCTCTAGTCATTAGTCACGTCTCAAGGCCCCTCTTATATTCTTTTGCTTTCCACTTTGAATTTTTATTTTCACAAAAAATATAAGATTTACTGTTATGCAGACTACTGCATTAGTGTAAAAAATGGTATAAATATTATTGGTGCACTTGTGAAAGAATATTAGACTCACCAGTTGACGTGTATTGCACGCTTGGCACGATTTGTTTACTTTTGAAGTTTGGTAAAAATCGAACTTTTCTGCTACTTTGAGCTCAATTTCAAGGCACCTTTCTTTGTAAAACCAGTCAAAATAATCTCAATTTCTGTAATATGTCTTCCGTTCTATAAAATGAGACCAAGAAAACTAGAATACAACAATAAATACCATACGAAAATACACTGCAAAGTCGCTGATTTATTAAAAAAAAATGGTCAAAGTTTTTTTTTTCTCATTATGCACTGTGTGCTGCAGGATTTTTTTTAGACTGTGCACACTGACCACATAGACCCATTCTTTCATATGAAGGCCTACCAGCTTTCTCCCACTAGATTTGAGGCCGCTAGAATTTATGAGTACAGTGGACCCCCGCTTAACGATCACCTCCAAATGCGACCAATTATGTAAGTGTATTTATGTAAGTGCGTTTGTACGTGTATGTTTGGGGGTCTGAAATGGACTAATCTACTTCACAATATTCCTTATGGGAAAAAATTCGGTCAGTACTGGCACCTGAACATACTACTGGAATGAAAAAAGTTCGTTAACCGGGGGTCCACTGTACTAGTACGTCAAAAACCCCTACGCGTAAGACGTACTAGTACGACGAAAACCCTCAAAGGGTTAAAGGCATTTGCTGGATGTAACAGTTAAGTACTTATGTGCTTATGGGAGATTCTAAAGAAAAGTTGCAAAGGTTAGTGGACGAGTTTGGGAGAATGTGTAAAGGTAGAAAGTTGAAAGTGAACATAGAAAAGAGTAAGGTGATGAGGGTATCAAATGATTTAGATTAAGAACAATTGGATATCAAATTGGAGAGGAGGAGTATGGAAGAAGTGAATGTTTTCATATATTTGGGAGTTGACGTGTCAGCGGATGGATGTATGAATGATGAGGTTAACCATAGAATTGACGAAGGAAAAAAGGTGAGTAGTGTATTGAGGTATATGTGGAGACATAAAACATTGTCTATGGAGGAAAAGAAGGGAATGTATAAAAGTATAGTGGCACCAACACTCTTATACGGGTGTGAAGCTTGGGTTGTAAATGCTGCAGCGAGGAGGCGGTGGAGATGTCCTGTCTAAGGGCAATATGTGGTGTAAATGTTATGCAGAGAATTCGGAGTGTGGAAATTAGGAGAAGGTGTGGAGTTAATGAAGGTATTAGTCAGAGGGCTGAAGAAGGGTTATTGAGGTGGTTTGGTCATTTAGAGAGAATGGATCAAAGTAGAATGACATGGAGAGCGTATAAATCTGTAGGGGAAGGAAGGCGGGGTAGGGGTTGTCCTCAAAAAGGTTGGAGGGAGGGGGTAAAGGAGGTTTTGTGGGCGAGGGGCTTGGACTTCCAGAAAGCATGCGTGAGCATGTAAGATAGGAGTGAATGGAGACGAATAGTATTTGGGACCTGACAAGCTGTTGGAGTGTGAGCAGGGTAATATTTAGTGAAGGGATTCAGGGAAACCAGTTATTTTAATATAATTGGACTTGAGTACTGGAAATAGGAAGTACAATGACTGTACTTTAAAGGAGGGGTTTGGAATATTGGCAGTTTGGAGGGATATGTTGTGTATCTTTATATGTATATGCTTCTAAACTGTTGTGTTCTGGGCACCTCTGCAAAAACAGTGATTATGTATGAGTGAGGTGAAAGTGTTGAATGATGAAAGTATTTTCTTTTTGGGGATTTTCTTTCTTTTTGGGTCATCCTGTCTCGGTGGGAGACTGCCAACTTGTTAAAAAAAAACACTTAAGTAGGATTTAATAGGTATTTTTTAGGAAACTTATTAAAACTGCTGGTAGATAGGGAACTTTTGGCGTTTTCAGACAGCGAATTCCATATTTCTTTGCATGTAATTTCTGAACAGCTTGATTCATACACATGGTATATTAAACGTGATATTTATTCCATGTACATTATTGTGTTGTTTTGCAGCTTTGCAAAAAAAAAAAAAAAGAAGAATTGAGCTCTGGGTTAACGTTTGTACCGAGCGCCCTGTATACAAAGAGCGCACAGTACTGAGTGTGAATATTTTGTATACAGCCTCTCCTCACTTAACGACGGAGTTCCGTTCCTGAGACCACATCGTTAAACGAATTTGTCACTAAGTGAGGAGCATACTATAATGGTAGTGAGTTTATGTCAATCATCTTTGATATTGTTTTAGTCCTCTGACTGTCGGTGTCGTATATATACGTCTTACAAGCCAGTGTTTTTGATGTATTAATATGCCAAAATTCTAGTGACTTCAAATCAAGCAGGAGAAAGCTGGTAGGCCCACATGTGAGAGAATGGGGCGTGTGGTCAGTGTGTGCAGTCTAAAAAAAATCCTGAACATGCAGTGCATAATGAGAAAAAAAAACTGACCATTTTTTTGGATTAAAATGCTGACTTTGAAGTGTATTTTTGTATATTATTTATGGTTGTATTCTTGTTTTCTTGGTCTCATTTGATAGAATGGAAGATATATTGCAGACATAGAGATGATTTTGATTCGGTTCATGATGAAAAGGACGTTGAAATTGAGCTCAAAATAGCAGAAATGTTCGATTTTTGCCGGTGTTCGAGAGTAAACATATGATGTCACCATCCAATACATGTCTAACTGGCTGGTCTAATATGCACTCATGAATGGGTTGACATTATTTATACAGTTATTGCAATAATGCAGTAGTCTGCATAACAGTAAATCTTCTATTCTTTGTGTGAATAAAAATTCAAAATAGAAAGCAAGAGTAATATACGAGGGGCCTAAAGACATGACTAATGAACAGAGAAAATGTTATTTTAGTGCTTGGAATGTCTGCATTGTTTATTCTGGACCCTATTTTGAAATTGGCATCTTTTTTAATTTGCATGATTTTGCAAAGGCGTTTGACAAATGCGATCATGGAGTGATAGCACACAAAATGAAGGCCATGGGCATTACGGGGAAGGTAGGCAGATGGATTTTCGGTTACCTAACACACAGAACACAATAAGTAGTAATGAACAGGGCAAGATCCAGCATCATCGAGGTCAAAAGCTCAGTGCCCCAAGGCACTTTCCTGGCACCTCTGCTGTTCTTCATCCTCATAGCAGACATAGACAAAAACACCCAGCACACTTTTGTATCATC